AGCTTAGCCTTTTCTGCTTAGTCTCCACACTGTGCCCAAAAGCTACCTTCTAAAATCCAGATATGGCCATATCACTCCCCTGCTTGATAACCATCAATGTCTCCCCATTGTCCTCAAAATTAATTTTCAAAGCCTGACATTCAAGGTTTTCAGCAGCCCCTTTACCCTTGGTTTTCCTTTTCCCACTGCCATCTGTGCCCCTTGACTCTCCAGCTCATGGTTTCACCCTGTCCTGGTTTATTATGAGCCCTTTCTGTCCCAAAAGGACTTGTTGAGCAAAGCCTTTCACCTACTTTCTTGTGCTTTCTTCTCAGATTCCCAGATCAGAGGCAGAGGAAGTAACAGTATGCCTCATGGGGTCAGAGCTGGGAGAGATTTGTGGACTGCCCCTGCTGCACCCCCCACCCACCCCATGCCCCCCATCCACTCACCATCATGACATACGTGCTCATGAACTCAGCCAGGAACTCCCGCACCATCTCCTTCTGCAGTGTTGCTTGTATCCTCATTAGCACCGACCAGGAGACCATCTTGAAGTTGCTGTTGGATCTGAAGCAGCGGCCCAAGCCCATGGACAGAAAGGAAAGTCAAGTCTGCCTACTGCCCATCAGCCCTTCAACTCCTGGCTGAGTTAATAGGTAACCCTGCAGCTTCTCCACATACGCTTCCTTGTGCCCACGGCAGCTAGGACAGCTGGGATCAGAGACACCAGAGAGCCACAGAATCATGGAGAGGAACTGGGGCAGATGGCCCAATCAGGCTCCTTCTTCCTTCTTACAGGAAATGGACAAGTGGGAAGGACCCACCAATGTGGCCACTTTGTAGAGGGGGTCATTGGGTAGCAGAAAGTGCAACCTGAAGTGTTGAGGAGCTGCTAGGAGAAGCAGGGTAGGAGAGAGCAGGCTGAAGAGTGGAGCTCAATTATCCGTCTGCCTAACTGCAGGAGCCAGAACTTGAGGATCACAGACCAGGATCTGGCAATAGTGAGGCACTTTTCAAACAGCATGGGGTGTGGCAAAATCTGATGCTGGGTTCTATAAACAGCACTGAGGCCTGAAACATGTACCAGCCTCTGCCAAGATGAGGGTGTCAGCAAAATGAACCAGGCTGTATAGCTAGGTCAGCACAAAGAGATATCTGTAAGTGAATGAATGAATGAACAAGAGAGAGGGAGGGAGAAAGGACAGACAGATAGGATAGGATCTTACTTCCTGGTTTATCCTCAGTGCCTAACACAGTGCCAAGCCCATAGAAGATGTATTGGTTGGATCAATGAAAACTGGGGGAACCTGTCTCTTACTCTCAACTAAATCCCAGAGCTAAATACACAGATGGATGAACAGAAAGATGCTGGGCACGGTGAAGAACATCTGTAATTCCAGTGGCTCTGGAGGCTGAGCATTGCAAATTCAAATCCAACCTCAGCAACTTAGTGATGACCTAAGCAACTTAGTGAGACCCTGTCTCAAAAATAAAATAATAATAATAAAAGGGCGGGGCTGGGGTTGTGGCTCAGAGGTTGAGCACTGGCCTAGTGTGTGTGAGGCACTGGGGTCAATTCTCAGCACCACATATAAATAAATAAAAGTCCACTGACAACTAAAAAATATTTTTTAAAATATGTAGTTTTTTAGTTGTAGGTGGACACAATACCTTTATTTTATGCATTTATTTTTATATTGTGCTGAGGATCAAACCCAGAGCCTCACACGTGCCAGGCTAGTACTCTACCACTGAGCCCCAGCCCCAGCCCCCAAAAAATATTTTTAAAAAATAATAATAGGGCTGGGGTTATGGCTCAGTGGTAGAGCACTTGCCTAGCACATGTGAGGCAGTGGGTTTGATCTTCAGCACCCCATAAAAATAAATGCATAAAATAAAGGTATTGTGTCCATCCACAACTAAAAAACTTTTTTTTTAATTTTAATATTTATTTTTTTTAGCCTTCGGCAGACACAACATTTTTGTTTGTATGTGGTGCTGAGGATCGAACCTGGGCCTCACGCATGCCAGGCGAGCGTGCTACCGCTTGAGCCACATCCCCAGCCCTAAAAAATATTTTTTAAAAAATAATAATAGGGCTGGGGTTGTGGCTCAGTGGTAGAGCACTCACCTAGCATGTGCGAGGCCCTGGGTTCCATCCACAGCACCACATAAAAATAAATAAATAAAGATATTGTGTCCAGCAATAAAAGAGAATAAAATTGTGGCATTTGCAGGTAAATGGACAAAGTTGGAGAATATTACGCTAAGTGAAGTAAGCCAATCCAAAAAACTAAAGGCCGAATGTTTTCTCTGATTAGTGGATGCTGATCTATGATGGGGTGGGGGTAAAAAATTGAAGAAATTTGAATTGGGCAAAGGGGAGGGTGAGGAGGGGTTGTGGAGGTAGGAAAGATGGTGGAATGAAATGGACATCATTACCCTAGGTACACGTATTATTGGACAAATGGTGCAACCAGAGAACTGAAATGTTGTGTTCCATTTGTATACAAGGAATTAAAATGCATTCTGCTGTCATGTACAACTAAGTAGAACAAATAATAATAAAAATCCAGGTGCAGTAGTGCACATCTGTTATTCCAGCAGCTCAGGATGCTGAAGAGGATCACAAGTTCAAAGCCAGCCTCAGCAACTTAGGAATGCCCTGAGCAACTCAGTAAGAACTTGTCTCTAAATACAAAATAAAAAGGCTGGGGATATGGCTCAGTGCTTATGTGCCCTTGGGTTCAATCCTCAGTACCAAAAAAAAAAAAAAATTAAGTGAATTTCAGGTCCCAATGACTGTGAGGGGGAGGACTAAACTGGGAAAAGACTGGAAAGGACTGGAGAGGAGAGAGATGCTGGGGTATGGAGGAAAAAGAGGAAGAAGAGGGCAGGTGGTGATTACACTGGCTGTAAGGAAGTAGGGTGGTGGTAGAATCAATAGTGGGAGGCATACACATTCTAGATATTTCTAGATATGACTAGATGTGAGGGAAATGTCAAGGATGTGTCCTTGACTTTTGGCTTGAGCAACTGAGAAGGGAACACCTGACTGAGCTGAGGTCACAGGCAGAGGAACAGACTCAGAGGGAGTGAAGGAGGCTGTTTTCAACTAGGATCTGAGTTGTGTGTAGGACACCAACAGGTCTTTGGTGTCTAAAGCCCAGGAGGAAGATGTGGGCTGGACACAGCAATGTCATCGGGACAGGAGGGAGGAACATTCATTCTCTCAATCTAAGAGTACACAAATGGCAAATTTGCTCTTGTGGAGCTAACAGCAATGAAATAAACAAGTGCATTCATGGGTTAGAAAGTAGTAGAACCCATGGGGGAACTGGGGTAAGGAAAGGGGGAGCTGGTAGGCGTGGAGTGTGATTGTAAGTGGAGTAGGCAGAGTAAGCTGCATTGAGAAGATGGACTTTCTTTTTTTTAAGAAGTGTCTTTTTTTTTTTTTTACCTTTATTTATTTATTTTTATGCCATGCTGAGGATAGAACCCAATGCCTCTTTCATGGGGGCCACAATCCCAGCCCCAAGAAGATGGCCTTTGACTAGACATGAGGGAGGGGAAGGAAGGCACCAAGTAGATAACTGTGGGAGAGCACTTCAGGCAGAGGGATGAGTCACAGAAGGACTCTGAGCTGTCTGCAGAAAGCCAAGGTTGTGTGTGGCTACAGGAGGGACAGTGAGGCGGGGGTGGGGATCCGCAGAGAGCTAAAGGGGATTAGATCGTGCAAAAACTCCGGCTCTTGTTCCATCCCAAGGGGCCAAGAAATGGGAAGTTCAGTTCAGCTGAGAGGGGCAGTCAGAACACACTGACCAACCCCTGAACCCTTTGTCTCTCTGAGCCCCTCACCCCAGGGCCCAGCCTGGGCTTACCTGTGCTGTGAGGACTTGAGAGACAGGTGGGAGACATACTTCTCTCATCCATGGGCTTCGAGGGAAGCAGGAAGGATGGGGACTAGGGGAGCAGCTGCCAGAAGGGAGAGGCTGAGGAGAGGACAGGGGGGACACTAAGGTGTGCCTGGAGGAGGACAGGAGGCTGAGATGGGGAATGAGGTGGGGTACTTACCGCCTCTGCCCACCTACTTGAGCCATATCTTGTCCTTCAGATTTGTAGATGCTGTGAAGCCAAAGAGAGGTCACTGGGCTGCGGGATGCAGAACGCCGTCCCACATTCCCATCAGACTCAGTCCCACAGGGGAGAAGTCACTGGGCAGCTAGCTCCTGCTAGTGCCACCCCCTCAACTCAGCCAAATTGGCATGACTGGGTGTGCCTCAGCCAATAGCAAGAGGCCCTGGAGTCCCCACCCCTCTACCCATGCTGGCCTCAGGACCCCTGACTTCTGGGCCAGGCCCTTCAGAGGTACTCCTGACCTTCCCAAGTCTGCAACACACTCAGTTTTGGACAGTGCAAGGTCTGCAGCCTCCCCTCAGTGACTCCAGCCTCTCATAACAGATATCATGCCTTTAATATAACCTCAAGCTCACTTGTTGATGATTTAAACTGTGACTTTCCAGGACCTCTTCCCTACACTCATGCACACAGGATGTGGCCCTGAAAACTCATTTAGCCCATGCCTCCACCTCAGAACAAAGACTAATCCCCCCACACACCTTTCCTCAAACATCCTCCCCCCGCCACTCCTATTTTTCTCTCAAACTGACAGCATGAAAATAACCCTTGCGTTTTCCTCATCCTATGTTCTCTCTCTCTCTCTCTCTCTCTCTCTCTCTCTCTCTCTCTCTCTCTCACACACACACACACACACACACACACACACACCCAGGGATTGAACCCAGGGGTGCTTAACCGCAAAACCACATTCCTCAGCCCTTTTTTATATTTTATTAGAGACTAGGGTGTCATTGATTGCTGAGGCTGGGTTTGAACTCACTATACTCCTGCCTCAGCCTCCCAAATTACTGGAATTACAGGCATGTGCCACTGTGCCCAGCATGACCTCACTCTCTAACCTAATCTCCTCTGACTGCAGCACAAATTCATATTCTCAACTCTGAAGGCAGAAACTCTCCAGCACCAAGGGAGGGGAACCCCGGGGAGAAGATGCTTCTGCAAGCTAACAGCTGGCCTGTCCCTTTTGCCCTGGTCCAGGGTAAATCCTCTACAGCTCTCTTCTCCTCCCACCCCTGTGCTCTACTGACTTCCCAGCCCAATGCATTCTCAAAGTCTGTTCCTCCAAGCTGCTCTGGTTGTCCCAGAAGTCGACTAACAGGTAAGGAAACTGTGGCCCAGAGAGAGGGTGCTATGTGCTCATATCACACAGCAACACAGGACTGAACCAGAACAGAAAAGCCAAGCCTTCAACTCCCCCAGTTGGTACTTGTTTCACAGTCAATCCTTCAGCCACCTCTTCCCTGCATGATCCCCCAAGGCCCTTCCAGGATTTCACCTTGAGGAGACCACCTTGCCCCAGCTCTGCCTGAATCCCCACTCACTCTGCTGAAGTGCCTTAGGTGTCTCAGCCTTTATCTTGGGGGCTTCTCAGTTAAAGTAGGTCTCAGTCTTGTTCCTCCATTACTGTCGGCACAGTCTGTACCCCCAGTTGGAGCTCAATTATCTCTTTGTCCCTAGTCCAGAGCCCGCCCCTCAGCCCTTCCCAGAGCAGCCTCAAGTGCTGCTCCTGCCCCTCCAGGGGAGAGGTCAGTAGGACAGGGGTTTGGCCACTTGAGGCAAGTCCAGATGCACTGCCCAAAATAGCATTCCTCCGCCTGCCAATGGCACCCTGGAAAGTAAGTTCTGTGGCAGCCCTTGTGAAGTCAGTTGTGGAACTCCAGGTAGGCACTTTTCTCCTCTCAGTCCCAAGGGAAAGAACGATCCTCCAAGCCAGATGTTGGGCCTGTCTCCAGGACCAGAGCCTAAGGTAGCTCTTCCAGGGTCCCAAACCTGGCAAAAGGCTACAGAGGCTCCTAGGCCGCCAGCTACAGAATAGGGACTGTAGGTAGAAATTTCTGGATATCAGTAGTCAACTGGGGGTGGGGTGGGGAAATAGATTCTGAGTCCATCCTCAGGGAGTCCTTGACCTGAAGTAGGGAAGGGGACTCAGGAACTGTCCTCAAGGGCCCCAATCTGAAGGGAAAGACACAAAAGCAATATTTTCAGGGAAACCCCATTCCAGAGGGGAGGGAGGAACCCAGGCCTAGTCCCCTAGGGGCCCCTGTCTGAGGCCAAGATGGGGAAACCTAGGCCTCATGAAGGAGCAAAGCTGGACCAGTGAGGGATAGAGCTCAGGGCTGTAGGAGCTCAGTGACCAAAATGGGGTCAGGAGGGAGCCTGGAGACAAGCTGCAGTCTGAGAGGTCGGGGTTTTTTGTTTGTTGTTTTGTTTGTTTGTTGGCTGTACTAGAGATTGAGCCCAAGGCTTCTCACTCGCTAGGCAAGCACTGTACCACTGAGCAACACCCTCAAACCTTTTTATTTTTTGGTAACAGCACGGCCACCCTCAACCCTTTTAAATTTTTTTTAAAAAAATTTTGAGACATGGTCTTGCTAAGTCACTAGGCTGGCTTCAAACTTCCAATCCTTTTGCTTCAGGCTCCCGAGTACCTGTCCTACCACACTTAGGTCCAAGAGGTCTTTTAGAGTCAAATCTTGGCTGGGTCTGGAAGGACAAGGTGGCAGCTGGGGATTTGAGCAGGTGATACAGTGATAAGACATAAGGAAGATGTTGCTGGTCTGCAGACCATAAGGACACCTGCCAATGGAGTGGTGGACAATAAGCAGTAAGTCCAGGGAGCTTCTGAGGTCAGCAGCCCCCCGGGGTATAGAGTTCGGTTACCCAAAATCCAATCTATGTATGAAACTGTCCTCCAGAGGGTGCCAAAGACCGGGCCAGGTCTGGAACCTGCATAGCCTCAGTCGCTTCCCCATACACCCATCCCAACATGCCCAGCAGGTGGCAGCAGAGCAGGGGAGAAGGAGGCTGTAGTACCAGGGTTCCTGAAGTCAAAGCCCTCCTTTAGGAACTAGCTTCCACTGCAGCCCCAGAAGTCTAAGGTTGTGCCCTTAATTCCCCTCTGGAGATCCTAAGTAAAATCAGGATGCTAGGTTTCTTCCTTCAGGGAGGAAGAGATGTGCCTGGAAGAGGAGGAGACCTGCCTTTATTCCTTTCCTGTGAATAGTATCAGGGTAAGAGAGGAGATAAGGTCAAAAGTGAGATGGGATCTCAGGTAAGGCCAGAGCTTGGGCAGAATTAGATGGGAGTGAATTAGGAGCTATTTTGGAGTTGGGCCCTAGGGCAAATTTTATGGGGCTGGATGCTTTAGAGGTAGTGAAGACAGTCCCTTCCCTCTCTGTGCTACAATATGACCCACCGCTCTGATGCCTTGCACACTGACCTGGGTTTTTTGAGTCCAAGCTGAACATCAAATTCACTGTATAACCAACCCTGTTTCACTCCTTGCTTCAGGTTTCTGTTCCCCAATCCACAAAACAGGGTTGGAGTATATGAGGCCGCTCCCACTCAGCTATTTTTGGCATGCAGAGAGTACCCAGGAAAAGGTTTGTGAAGGCATCAACAGATGATTAACTAAAAAACTAAATTGGTGGAAATGATACATTGGTTGAAAATTAATCAGTAATATTGATGCAGCACAGGAATTTTTTTTGCAAACTTTAGTGTATCCTTAAGCATTTGGTCCCTCTTTTAGCAATTGTTTAGTTTTCTAATTTTAATTTTGTCTGCCATGCAGGCGATTGCTAGTAAAATGTTAGAAATCACCCAGTGCTCATCAACTGCTCACTTATTACCATACTAAAAGTTTTACAATGTAAACTGGTGATTGGGAATATTAATGTTCATCTAACCTAAAATTTAAATATGTATGAAGATGGGCTGGGGATGGCTCAGTGGTAGAATGTTTTTCTAGCTTGTGACAGGCCATGACTTCAATCCCCAGCATCTCCCCAAAAATTATTATTATTTTTTGGTTGTTGTTCCAGGGATTGAACCCACTAGTGCTTAACCACTAGCCACATCCTTGCCTTTTTATTTTTTTAAATTTTGAGACAGGGTCTCACTAAGATCCTTAGGGCCTCGCCAAGTTGCTAAGGCTGGCTTTGACTTGCAATCCTCCTGTCTCAGCTTCCTAGTATTATAGGCATGTGTCACCATGCTGGCTCTAATCTTTCTCTATATGTGCACATATATAAATCTCCTACCTACTGTGTCAATAATGAGTAGAATGATAATAAGATTTTGTAAAGTACTTTTTTATTATTTTATTTTTTAAAAAATTTGTTCTACTTAGTTTTACACGACAGCAGAATGCATTTTAATTCCTTGTACACAAATGGAGTGCAAAATTTCAATTCTCTAGTTATACACAGTATAGAGATGCACCATTCATGCAATCATACACGTACCTAGGGTAATGATGTCCATCTTATTCCACCATCTTTCCTACCCCTTCACCCCTCCCCTTTTGCCCAATCCAAAGATCCTCCATTCATACCATGCCCCACCCCACCCCCATCATAGATAGGCATCCACTAATCAGAGAAAATATTCGACCTTTCGTTTTTTTGTGGGGATTGGCTTACTTCACTTAGCATAATATTCTCCATCTCCATCCATTTACCTGCAAATACCACAATTTTATTTTCTTTTTTAAAAATTTTTATTAGTTATTGATGGACTTTTATTTATTTATTTGTTTATATGCGGTGCTAAGATTTGAACCCATTGTGTATATATACCAAAGTTTCCCTATCCATTCATCTACTGAATGGCATCTAGGTTGGTTCCATAATTTAGCTATTGTGAATTGTGCTGCTATAAACATTGATGTGGCTGTTTCCCTGTAGTATGCTGTTTTTAAGTCCTTTGGGTATAAACCGAGGAGTGGGATAGCTGGGTCAAATGGTGGTTCCATTCCCAGTTTTCCAAGGTTTCTCCATACTGATTTCCAGATTGGCTGCACCAATTTGCAGTCCCACCAGCATGTGGGAAAATGTGCCTTTCCCCCACATTTTCGCCAACACTTATTGTTTGTATTCTTAATAGCTAACATTCTGACTGGGGTGAAATGAAATCCTAGAGTAGTTTTGATTTGCATTTCTCTAATTGCTAGAGATGTTGAACATTTTTTCTTATGTTTTTTGATTGATTGTATATCCTTTTCTTTCTTTCTTTTCTTTTCTTTTCTTTTTTTTTTTTTTTTTGAGAGAGAGAGAGAGAATTTTTTAATATTTACTTTTTAGTTTTCGGCAGTCACAGCATCTTTGTTTGTACGTGGTACTGAGGATCGAACCTGGGCCACATGCATGACAGGCGAGCGCACTACCGTTTGAGCCACATCCCCAGCCCTGTATATCCTTTTCCAAGAAGTGATGTTAAGTTCCTTGGCCCATTTATGGATTGGGTTATTTGGTTTCTTGGTGTTAATATTTTTGAATGCTTTAAATATCCTAGAGATTAGTGTCTCCAACACTTATTAATGCTTGTATTTTTTTAATGTCATTTTTTTAATGAGAGAGAGAGAGAGAAATTTTTAATATTTATTTTTCAATTTCTAGTGGACACAATATCTTTCTATTTGTATGTGGTGCTGAGGAACGAACCCAGCGCCCTGCGTATGCCAGGCGAGTGCGTTACCACTTGAGCCACATCCCCAGCCCAATGCTTGTATTCTTGATAACTGCCATTCTGACTGTGGTGAGATGAAAGCTTAGAGTAGTTTTGATTTGCATTTCTCTAATTACTAAAGATGTTGAACACTTTTTCATATATTTGTTGGTTACTTGTATATCTTCTTCTGAGAAGTGTCTGTTCAGTTCCTTAGGCCATTTATTGATGGGTTGTTTTTTTGGGTTTTTGTTGGTATTAAGTCTTTTGAGTTCTTTGTCTATCCTGGAGATAGACAAAGAACTTTATCTGATGATCTATACAAATGCTCTATCTGATGTGCATGTGGTAAAAATTTGCTCCCATACTATAAGCTTTTTCTTTACCTCAATGACTATTTCTTTTGCTGAGAAGAAGCTTTTTAGTTTGAAGGCATCCCATTTATTGATTCTTGATTTTATTTCTTGAGTTTTAGGAGACTTGTTAAGGAAGTCAGGGCCTAATCTGACATGATGAACGTTTGGGCCAACTTTTCTTCTATTAGGCACAGAGTCTCTGTCTAATTTTTAGGTCTTTGATCCACTTTGAGTAGAGTTTTATGCATAGTGAGAGATAGAGGTTTAATTTCATTTTGCTACATATGGATTTCCA